TCCCCACTTCTTTTCCTTTTTGTGCTGACAAAATCAAGGCATGTACTTTTTATTTGCTACAGAAAAAAATAAAGAATAAAGCCATTCTAAAGAAAAGTAACAGGTAGTTATTTCCTTTTTCCTCGCATTCTCTTTCGTACTAAAAGCAGTAAACAAGTCATCCTTTCTTTCTTCTTTGTCATCCGTAAAGACCAGAAAGCTGAGCACTGCTTTTCACTGACCAGAGATATGTTCGCTATTCATTATTCCCATTAACATCACCCTCTCTTTATTCATTTTGAGATTTTAGACCAGGAAGTGTAAGAGTCTCTGTGAAACAAGGTGAGGAGAGTGGGAATGTAGAACTCCTGGCAAAGGCCTGGGAGATAAATATCTCAAAGGAAGAAGCACTATAGATTCTAAAGGATGTAAGAAGTTGAAAGTTTATGAGATAAATCTTTCCCACAGGGTCTCAGAGTAGTTTAACAGAGTACTACTGTCTTTCTAAGCAGCAGAGTGAAGCAATGTGCTCTGGACTCATTGGCAGTGAAGTTAAAGAAAGATTGAAAATAAAATAAAAGCAAATATTTATCAAACAAATACAAGCAAAATGAAAATCAGGGATGGAAATTTCAATTCCAGAGTAACATTCAAAGCCAAAAGTGTTTATAGAGGCAAAATTTTTGGCAAGACATACAATTCCAGTAAACACCAAGCATTCACCAATAGTTATACACCTATGTAACATCACATTAGAAAAAGCAAAAGCTATTTGAAATACAAGAAAAAGTTGAAAGAAGTGCAATTGTTTGGAAGGTTTACACAGCATTCTCACCTCTTATAGAACAGGTAGATAGAGAAATCTAGGGAAATAGAAAAGAAATCATAAATGCTCCTAAGAGATGAATAGTCAGAAGTTTCAAACATGGGCATCACCCTATGATGTAGAAAAGGAGATATTCTTCTTTATTTCCAGAAATTCAGCACTGAGGATCCTACTAATATGGCATCAGATAGGGTCAAAGGAGTCGTGGTCAATTTATTGTATCAGTATGAAGAGAAGGACAAAATCCTATTGTAGGAGAAATTGTGTGCCTATCAGTACTTTTTAATCTACTAGGAAACTCTTGTAGATTTGACCCCGTGAATTTCCAAAGTAGATAAAGAGTACTGATTATCTGCAAGCTAATCTACTCACTTAGGCAAATTAACATATCACTATCTGGATTCTTCAGACACGCTTCAATCCCATGACATTAATGCAAAAGATGGTTTCTATTCCTGAAAGTGATCCAAAAAATCTGAGGGTAGTTGGAGGTCTGCCAGATGCTGAAACTGTTCTGGGTTGTTCCTTAAAATGACAAAGCTAGGAAACTTCTGAGAGTAGGAAGGACTTGAGTTCATGTTGAACTCTGATGAGCAGAAACAGGAAAACTAAACTTGCTGTTCATGACTGAGAGATTCATGATCAGTGCTAAGCCCAGAGGATCATAAATTGGATAGCCATCATACCAGAATAGGAAATAAGACTGACATACATCAGAGCTAAGAGGCTTCCTTCCCTCCTTCCCTTCCTTCTTTCCTTCCTATCTTCCTTCCTTCCTTCCTTCCTTCCTTCCTTCCTTCCTTCCTTCCTTCCATCATTTCTACTTTCTATTTTCTTTCTTTCTTTCTTCTAAACCCAAGGAACAATCTATTTTTAAAAGCTTAATTCTCATTTATATCCACCTCAGATTTTGTCTCAGAACAGAATCACATAGACAACTCTCTAGTGGATTTCTGACTTGGATGCCTGATAGACATACAGATTCAAAATGATCCAACCCTAAAATCTTGGTCTTCTCCTTGGGCTTGTCCATGAACCAGATTCCATTCTAGAAAAATAGTATCGCTGTTCACCTAAAAAGAAGCCAAGGGGGCCAGCAAATGAAGAATGATCTGTGTCCTTCTTTTCTTTAATTATGGTTTCATTCCTTAGTTGATATTTTTCAGAACACAAGTATATGCTCTGGTTTCCCATGATGTTTCTTAATTTAACTCCAACACACATTTTTGCAATCAAAAGGAAATTCTCACAGACACTCAGGGCCAGGTCTGGGTTTTGGTTTTGATAAGAGTTTTTGTATTTTTTTTTTCTGAATTTTGGTATTTAGGGAACATGCAGGAAGAAATGACTTTGACCAATGCAAAGACTATGATTATCACCACAGAGCAAGACTTAGGTTTACTGGCTTTGAGATGAGATTTTTTTTTGACCAATCAGGTTGGTTAAAGATGTAGACTTGTAGGCAGAACAGGCCAATGATCATTAGTTGTTAAACATAAAATGGATAACACATCTTCTACTGCCAAGCATCTGTCAGCTCTCCCCTACCCATGTAAGTATTAATGGAATTCAAATCATAAAGAGTAAGAAGGAGGTAGTCAGAAATCTCTTTTACCATGCCTAGAATTGGAGGGTTTCATATTAATGATGTATCTACATATACGAATGTGATTGACACAAGGCTACAGAAAGGCTTCCATTTTTAAACGAACATAATGATTCAAATTTTAAATATATTCATGACAAAGATACATGAGATCTACTAAGTTTCCTGTATATAAAATTGTCCTATATTGCACTGATCTTCTGGCTGGGAAAGAAAAGCCAATTTGCATGGTTCCTGTCAGTCACATGTGGTTTGGAAGTGCTTATGCATTCCAGATACACTTTGTGTAAACTGGAGGATCATATCCCATTTCCACTGGTTTGCATGCATGCATATAAAACTTGTTTTTCCCAAAATGCCACATGAACATAAGTGAAGAACTACCAGCAGTGATCATAATTAATTAACTTCTTTGTTGAAGTTTCACAGCTACAATGATGAGGGAAATTATTGGGCTTCAAGTTTAAGGAGGCTATGACTTCAACTTTGATTGTTTGCTTCTTTAGTTCTGTTCCATAGAACTGCTAAAGATAACATCAGCAACAGTCACTCATCACACAGTTCCTGGTACTTACTCTGTGCCAGAACCTCTAGCAGGTACTGAGAAATACTGAGCAGAACTCCCTCTATAGGGAGCTCATAGTCTTATGGGAAAGAACAAGCAGTAAATAATAGTTACCACCCAATGTGATAATGACTTTTGTTCAATTTGGGTTATGTATTGCGTCCTATGGAAACAGCGAGAGGGTTTGCCAAAACTTCACAGAAGGTGAACCCTGTTGGTGGAGCCTGAGTGGAAGTGAAGGACTGGAAGGCATTCAAGAAAGTAGGAACATTATGTGCAAAGCTCATCAAGAACACATGTTTCAGGGACCTGAAAGAAATTCTGTACGGCTTGAGGCCAGAGTTAGAACTAGCTGAGGAAATAATTTGAAAATACGTGGGGGAGAGGCAATAATTCTAATGAAGAATGTTATTTTAACAGTCTACATTCTTGTGTTAATGTTTGGAGGTATTTGCTCACTAAGAAAACTTGTACGCTGCAGATGAAGCAGTTAATGTCACAATGTACAGTGTCCAGAATCTATCCCTTACTCTTTTCCTTTCCTGGCACTTACATTATGGTGTGTCTGGCATATAGTTGGTATGCAATGAGCATAAACTATTATTACTCTATGTGGTAGACAGCTTCTAAGGTGGTCCCCAGTGATATGTGTCCTAATGTGAACTCCTTCTCTTGAATATTGACTGGGTTTACTGACTCATTTCTAATGAATACACAATGTCAGAAGATTAATGGGCTATCACTTCCAATATGTTATGAAAAGACTATGGCTTCCGTCTTGGGCATTGTATCATACAGCCAATCTACTCTCTCTGTCTCGCCTTTTCTTTTGTTTCATTAGCTGCCATATCCAAGACACTCAATATAAAGAGAGACCCATGTGTCAAGGAGTTGAGTCATGCCTATGTAAGCATGTTCACTGCCAGCACCTCTGGATCTTTGGAATCTGCCAGTAGCTATGCAAGTGAGCATGGAAGTGAACTCTCTGACTTTCTTCAAGCCTTGGTAACTACAGCTCTGGCCAATGGCTTGACTGCAACCTCATAAGAGACCTAAGCCAGTGGCACCCAACTGAGCTGCATCTAGATTCTTCACCCAAAGAAACTGTGACATAAGATTGGTTGTATTAAGCCACTAAAATTTGGTTTAATTTGGCCCACAGAAATACGGACCTTATATAATCTACTACCATTGTGTACTCCCTATCCTTTTGGGAGATGGGCTTCTGGTAAACCTAGATTGAGCATGGTGGCACTGGACTTCTTCCTGGAATCTCAGCTTTTGTGACTAGAATCCTGATCTCCTGATCATCTAGTAATAAAAAGTGATCTCAGTTCTCACTCTCTAAGGGAGTGAACTTCATTACCTTTGGTTCCATTCATTTAATTAGATCATTGACAGATGATTCTTCCACAATTGTGGTACAGATTGTTGAGTTTGGAGTGCTCCTCTCTGACCTTGGGCACACCAATACAGTGAAGTACATTGCCTATACTATCTGCTTCTAAGAATCCAGTCACTCTCATCTGTCTAGATGATAATCACAGATATCCAGAGAAAGATACATGTAGCTACTATATTGCCTATTTCCATGTATAACTCTACATGATTTTGTGACACGTCTTAGCAGTAATTGGTAAACTTGCTGTCTACACTTTCCAGTTGAGAGCAAGTGGAAAACTATAGATTGCTGGGGAAACATTGAGATTGTGGCAAAGAATTTTTGTCAGTTTATAAAACAATGTTGATCTGAAGTCAGTGGTTTCATATGTAAAAAAGATGTCAAGTCTTTATATAAAAATTATTCTCAGCTAAGGAAAGAAGAGAAAAATATAAAACCCAGTATACCTTCCACAAATTATTCTTTGCTTGCTTCCTAGGACTCAGTAGTAGGTCTTAGGTCCTAAGTTCATTTTTCAGTTAATGATTAAGCAATCAGAACAGATACTACATCTAAATGACAGCAGTAATAAAAAGGAAGAAAAGTAATAAAAAGGAAGAAAAGAAGAAAGGGGACTTTCTACCTCTGTCCCTGATGCTTTTGCCCCTCATGTTCTGGAACACAGTTGTTGGGAGCTGAAAGACTGATGTGGGAGGATGTCCTTAGAGCCACCGCTGAGATGCCCACCAAATGGGATGAGAAATTCAGCAGCACGGAGGTGGTACGGTGGGCGAGGACATTTGAATCAGGTGTCACATTGATAACCAGTGGGTTATGCTGGCATGACAGTTCATAAGTTCCTGAAGAGAAGTAAAGAGATGAATTAATATTTTAAACTATTCATCTAGTACCATGTTTCCATGTCAAGTATTATTTTTTCCATAGCTATGTGATATAGAAGAGATCCCAAACAATACCAGAAATAGACATCAAACTGACTCGTGGGTCTGCTGGATTGTCCTCTAGTAGTTCTCAAGGAATCATTCTCAGACTCACCAAGAGAGTGGTTGTTTCCACTGATGTCAGTCAGATACAGAGTTACTGTTGGCTGCTGATGCTTCCCAGGGGCCGGGCCATCAGATGTCAAGAAAATGAAAATTGCTGTGGCAACTCCAGGTCTATTAAAACACACCTAGGCATAAGCACATACATGAATGAGTCATTATTTTCATAAGCAATCAAAGCATGTGCCACACCATGTCTGTTCTTCTCAGAGAGCTTGCCATTAACAAATGGGAAAAATACAGGAGTAGGCACAGAAAAGTCCTCAAGGTTGCACCAAAAGTCATAACAAAAGAGAAAGGTCGGGGGCTGGGGATTTAGCTCAGGGGCACAGTGCCTGCCTGACAAGTGCAAGGTCATGAGTTCGATTCCTGGTACCGGAAAAAAACCAAAAAAAAAAAAAAAAAAAAGAGAGAGAGAAAGATGATTTTCAACTACCAACTATTTTACCTTTTTTCTGAAACTGCTTAGTGCACTGTTTTTGCTTTTCTTTTTCTTTTTCTTACTTGTACCTGTCTTTCATTAGATTTCTCAAAAAGATCACTCAGAGAACATTACTGGAGAGACTAAGCCTTCATATTTGTTTTTACTAAAGAGAGAGAAGAGAACAAGATGACCATTGAGCCAGTATCTAAGTTAACAGACCAAGCTGTTCTGAAGTTCTGAACTTCCACACCTAGTTATCCTTCTCCACCTCTGTATTTATCCTGCCCCTAATTTTCTCAGAATTTTTCACTGAGCATGTGAGTTATATCATAGAAGAGTGGCTACTGCAGAGTCTATTGCTTCTGAGGTTGAACCCTAAAACACTGCTTATGTTTATGTAGTTTTTCTGGTGCCCCAAGCTTATATATTCTATCTCTAGGTGGAAAACCAACCAAGCTAAAGGCACAGGAAAATTCCATTATTTGTAAGGAATATTCCTGGATGGTTAGACTGACTATACTGCATCAGAAATTCAGAGTAGACTATGAAAACTTTGTCCCTGGGAACATTTTAATAGAAAAAAAATCATAAAGTTCAAGAATGAAATACAGCCTTTCTCCTAGCTGCTGCTAAAGGTCCAGTGTTTATTTCCATACGAGACTTATATGATGTGATAATTTACTTTGGTTTGATTTCTTAAAGCTTAACACTACCCCTACTTTCTGTTCAGAATAGTCCCCAACTTTCCCTGATGTTATGTCTGTGGTTTATGATTAGAATCTTGACCTTACAAAGTCCTAGGTGCGTTTTTCTGGCTTTTTATCATGGTTGAAGGGTGGTGTGGCCCCAGGAAATTTATTCTCAGTGCACAAACAGCAAAACATCTAATGGCAGGGACCTCCTCTAAGGTGGGAAGAGGGAGTGTAAAACAGGTTTTCTATTTTAATGAAAATTCTTTCTCATCCACAGATTGGTGTTTCCTGACTCTTGGCAGTGTGTTTATAGAGTGTCCATTTGCACTGCTGGCTTAATTAGGGTGATTTTATGATTTACAGTGGTCAAGGCAGCACAGCTCTCCCTTCTTCCTCTCCTTTGAGGGAAAGACAAGCCACACTTTTTACAGTGTCTGCTCCCCATTTTTTTCACTTCTCCCTTTGAAGTAGTAAATATTCCTTCATAATTTAAGAAACATCCAGACCCATAGGTTACGGTTTCCAATATGAAGTCCTCTGTCTCCAGCTGGGTGTGGGCTAGACATGAAACACATCCTAAGGAAACCAAGAGCAGAACTGAAAGCTCTGGACTCCAGCAGAAAATGACATCAAAGCCTTCTGGGAACTCCCATAACCTCTTCCTTTTCATACACCACAAAAGAGACCTGAGCACTGAAAGAAACTTCTGGGTCATTTCCTGATCCAGGAACAGACAGAGTCCAAACAAGTACCTTGGTGGCTTTACCTCAATAGGCCTCAGACCTGAAGAGTGGGGTGGCTTTAGCAAGGAACAGGAGAGCTCAGTCTTCCATCTGCTCCTGGGGCCTAAAGCTAGTTACGAGAGGTAGTTCTTGCAGTGTGGGCCTCTCTATCCTAGGGCCCCATGCCCACAGCTTCCAACCCACTTTACAACTCTTAGCAAATGCCCCTTTGTTCTGCAACTCCCTATATTCAAAATAACTTCTGCAGGTAAAGACTGCTTCTTATGATAGCAGTGTCTTGATGCCATGATTTGTGGGGAATATTATGGCAGAATTTTCAGTCCAGGGATTAAGTAGGAAAACCACAGGTAGGACTTACAAAGACCACACAGGCAGAGGAATATTGGTCTACACAAAGCAAAAAGAGACAAAGTGTGAAGTTATGGAACGCTGAGTCTTGGTCATTTCTTTTCACATGACAAGGGAAAGGTAGCCCGATTCATTTTCACTTGAATCTGAAGTATATCCCATAGGAGCAACTATAAGCACAAGAGGTATAAATTCTCACACATAACTACTGCATTGTCACCTCAAAAGCAGAGACTAGTCCAAATTGGTGCATTATCACTAAGCAGGGATAAGAGGAACCAAGTAAATTCACCAGGCAGAAGCTCTTTGACCAATCTTCATTAGCTATATAAGCCCAAGCAATCCATCTCTCTCATCTGATCCTGGGTTTCTCTTTCCTACAGCTGAGAATAGAGGTGCCGCCTATCTCACACGGTTACAGCAATGATTAAACGAAGTCATGTGAGGGTGTACGGGACACTGTTTATTGTACGGTTAAAAACTCAGGGTTCAATAATTCCTATTTTCTAAACAAACACTTTATATCCAGCTTACACTGGAGGAAGAAAAGGTGAAAAAATATAATTCTAAAGCAAAATGTATAATTTTATGTTCTGATCTGCAGAGAGAATTACACTTTTCTGGAATTTATGGGCTAAAATGTTAAATATGCTTTATAAAATTGATGCTTGTAGAAATGGGAAGTGGTTCTTTAGATGCTGGTTTCATAGAAACTGTCAATATTTGAGATTCTTGGTGAATTATGTAATTCTACTTTATGAATAGAACCTATAAAAATACAGTCATCCCTTGGTACTTGACTGCTATAAAACTTTAAAACTCTTTGCCTTTGGATGTGGAAATTTTGTGCCGGTATTTATCATTTGTTTGATACTCAAATGCAAGCTAGAACCTGTTGGTATCATTCACCTTGTGACTCACAGTGTCCTTTCCAGTCAAAGCAATTTGCTCAGAACTAAATATTTTTACTACTTGTCATAACTCTGAGAAGCAATTAATGAATACTAAGGTACCACTGTACATTTTTACACATAGATCTCTTAATAGTTTTTTTTTTTTTAGAAAATTCAGTTTAACATGCCCCAAGAGAAAGACCCAAACTTTTAGGAAGTTAAAAAAAGAAGTCAGTTTTATCTGTAACATTTTACTATTTGTTTTAACAAGGAAGTTGCATTCATATATTACATAAGCAATATAAAGTTAACATGTCCTCTACAAGGTATAAAGCCTGTAGCTAGATATCAAGAAAGAGACAAGGTCTTTCAGAAAATCAAGTGATTCTCAAGTCTAAGAAATGGTCCAAGTTAGGATTGCCAGTGAAATAAATTCATTGCATACGTCACAAAGTACTTTGCAATAAAAAAATACAGAGCTAATGGATTGCAAATATACAGAGAACAAACAAAGAAAAATAAAATATATAGGGGACAGAGAGAGAGAGAGAGAGAGAGAGAGAGAGAGAGAGAGAGAGAGAGAGACTGAGTTAGATACTGTCACACTCCACGCAGTGGGGGAGAGTCAGCCCCAAATACTGAGTTACTTTTTCATTCAAAGACTACACATTAACTACCTGATCTAATTGCTGGCCACTGGTGAAGAATAAGATTGAAAGAATGTGTCTGTAATGAATAACTGCTTGGGCTTAAGAAATCCTTGTCCAGTCTGCCTGCTGGGCCCCAACACACTCATCGTGTTCCCAAGCCAAACATTTCAACTTCCAGGTCATCCTTTGTGGTGGTCACCACATAGCAGATCCTGAAACTATACCACAAACTTGAAAAGAATCTTCTCTGAGGTTTCAAAATGTTTTGGGTTAGTCACTGTGTTGCTGTTTTTCTATGCCTTGCCTGTTTTACTCATCTATGGCACCTACCACTTGTAGAGTGGAATGGAGGACCCTTGGATGGAAGAAGGTAGGTTTGGGCAGAAGAACCTTAAGTTCGCATCCATTGTATGATCATGTGCTTTGCTGGAGAATCCACCATGCTCAAGGGGCTTTTATTCCTACTTGAGATTTTTGAACTGTAGCATCCTCTTGATACAAAGATTTTATGACCTTGCATAAGGAGGTCATTAATTAGAAATGAGGCTTGTAAGAGCTGGTGGCTTCAGCTAGGCAAATGTTAGAAAGAAGGGGACTTAGGTTTTCCCACTCTAAGATCTGCACCCTTTTGATTGCACCAGTATCCTTACTTTGAGATGAGTTGGGAATTATAGATTCCTTAGAAAAGCTGTTGACCTTTGGGACTCCTCTGCTCCCAAGAAATGAAGTCACATAAACATTTAGCCATGTAAATTGTGTATAACTCCAGAGAAACATCTTTAAGATTCATTTATGGTCTAATTAAGGTAAACAGAAACCATAATAAGAGGACTTGTAAAAAAGATTGAGCCATATCCATTTTTAATAGGTGAAAAATTATCAAATGTGACAATTTCATACTGCTCAACCTAATAATACTGTGTAAACTTCAGAGATCTGAGCTAGGCAGAGATTAACTTCTAAAGTTTCAAAGGATCTGTCCTGAAGTCCAATCTAATAGATAAAGGGAGAGTGTGAAGCAATTGACCTCTTCCCAGTTAATTATCTTGGCTGTTTCTGTACTTGAACATGAATAAAGAACCAGTATTATGGCCCCCACTGTCCAGGGATAGATATTCAAAAATATATGATTTGGCAAGCAAGTGGGGAGAGCTGGGATCAAATCAGATGACTGGTTCAATTCTTTCTAAGACCATTTCCTCAAATCATGGTCTCAGACACCAACACTAAATCTTCTGGGACCTCATTAGAAAAAATTTGTGGGACTCAGAAAGAGGATCAAGAGACAGAACCAAATCTCTAATAGACTCCATGGTGTGTCGTATATATCTCCACTTCCATGACAGTGGCACTCACCATGCTGCAAAGTCTCTTTCTG